ACTCTTACAAGTAAGTTTCTTCAGTTTCCTCAAATATCAATTAAATGAGACATATACTCCAATCTAATCTTTCCTACTTTTTTGGTGTTAGTGTAGTTGGTGTATCATCATATTATATCATTACTGACATCACTTAATCTGTATGGTTAGCATAATTACAATAGTAGCAGCTATATGACTGGTACTATCTTCAGTTTGTGCATTATATGATTTGTTCTAAAAGATAGTTATTGCAACGATGGCCAAATAAAGGTACTATGACGATGCTGCTTGTGTGTTGAGGAAGATGTTTCTAGATGCAAAAGCTCCACATCTTTCATCGACAATCCCACCAATTTTACCATGGAAAGTCAGTGAACCAGTTCAGCCTTCTGAGGGGTTAACACGTCAAGGAAGTGGGCTGATTGGCACATTTGGACAAGCAGAGGAACTACGATGTGTTGTTACAATTGTTCGGCAGTAAGACATACTCCTTATGCCTCTTAGCCTTGCTGGCAAGATCCATTTGTCTCCTTTACCTAACCATTCTCAACTGTAACAGTGGTGATAGAACTCCAAAACAAAAAGTGAAGTTGAAGGTTACTGAGGAAAAACTCTTAAATTTGATGTTAAAATACAATGGCGGTAAACCTAGATCAGAGGTGCTTCTTTGCTTTCATGGTACAACTGCTTTTCTTTATCTTTTTTCTGATGTCTTAGATGATTAATATTTCAAACTTGCACAGACAAAGCTCAAAACTGCTGTGCAGTTGCAAGATCTTTTGGATGCCACCAGAGCCTTAGTGCCACGTTCTAGGTTAGTGAGACTCTTATTCTTAGAGAGCATACATAATCACATTGATCTCTTCACCCCCCCACCCCCCACCCAAAAAAAAATAAGTTTGTTTTTAAAAAATATTTTCAATTTCAAAAATTATTTTCTACTCTAGTAAAAATAAAAAATATTTCTCAAAAATATTTCAATTTCCTTCATACCAAACACATCCTAAGTATAGTAGAGGAATATATTTGTTAATTGTCATCATCACAATAATAATATCAAAGCTAAGAAATTAAAATAACTAAAAGAGAAGTTGCGGGGAAGCCAGGTATAACAACTGGCATTTCTATATGTATATACTGTATATAGCATATAGCTCAACAATGGCCATATATAATACTGGCTACACTTGGATAATTGCTGACAACTTGAGTAGCAAGTGGAGAAACATAGCTGCCAAAAATATATTATCAAATATACCTCGATATTTGTACTTAAGAGTTACAGATTCCAATTATATCTCATGTCATTCAAGAATTTTAACAAAATACAAACAGTTAGATTATGAAGGAGTTGTTTGGCAGGAAGGATAAAGATAATAATCTCGAGATAAAATCTCACTAATTATACGATTGTAACAAAATAAACTACACATATATATAGCAGGAATAACTAATTTCATTACATAGGATAATTTTGTTTATCCCATCGCCATACATTAAGACACTTGTTGACACACATTTGGGGGCACTCAACCACATAAAAGTATGCATATATAAAATTTGCGTATATTTTATTCTCTTCATCGACACATGCACTTTATAATATACAAAAATGAAAAAGAAAATATAACAAGTTGTAGTGTGAATATATAACTAAATATAATAAGGACTTTTCTAATGAAATGAGTGTGGGGCATTTGTTTCATTAAGCAGTACAAGATATCAAGCCCATCAGTGTTGACTCCAAACATATCAACAATTATCATCCATGTTTTCAAAATTTCTTTCTTCGTGATGCAATCATTAATTTGACTTTATTTCAATTTGGAAAGCAACTCTCGTATATGATCACTCAATTATTGATAATTATCTCATAAAATTATTTATTTAAATCTTTTTTACTATTAAAGTTGTAGTCACTATATATTCTAATAACTCAATTATTAATAATTATCTTAAAAAGTCATTATTTTTTTATAACATGAAAGTGGCCCAAGAGTAGGGGTCTTTGTTTCATCTATTTTACTAACGTTTAGTTCACTGTTCTATTTCTTTTGCTAATAAAAGAAAAGAGACTTATTTTTCACATCAACTTATTGACTCATCATAGTATGGAACAAAAAGGAAGGATCTTACCTTTTTCCTAAGTTATACTTAGGTCCAATAAATAAACATTGTAATATAATAATATTCACATAATCTTTTTTCTTGACTGAAATAATGTAAGAAACTATGGATAAGTATCATCAGCGTGTTCCGTGAAAGAATACCTACTACTGAAAATTGCAACTAATATTTTATCTCATCTTTTCTGGTTACTTACAAATTAAATAGAAGAAAATTGAATAAATATTTCAAAAAGATACTCAAATATGAAGAATCATGTATCAAAATTAATTAAATTTATTTTCGTTCCATAAGATCATCACCGAACTTAGGATAATGAATCCCCTTAATCTTAATGACTAGAACTAAGTTGGATTATAACATGTACTCATTTTTAAAAATATGGTGCAAGTTATTTTCATTGGTTTTGATAATGACTTCATTATAGTGGTATATCATGTTGTTCTTCTCAAAATATGTGGCATTTCTATTCAAAGATTATTAGATTATGACATGTAAATTCATGTTTCCCATGCTTTAAAGGCAGTTCCTTTTTTTTTTCTCTAAAAAACAATTACTACTTTATATAAAGAAGTTAGGAGTTGCAAATTATCCAATTTAAATCTAGCATCATATTATAATTAGCACATGGCTTTAGCTGTTTTCTTAGTTAATTAATACTAACTTAATTTAGTGCTTACAAAATGTGAGAGTACTCCTAAATAATTTAATTCTTGTGCGATGGTTGTGTTCCGTACGAATTAAGGAAACAAATTTCAGAAAAGAAGTTTTCTAATTTTTAATTTTAAAAAGAGAAATTGATCTTCCAAATGAAAATAGAAAAAACAGATTTCACTAGTAATCGCATTCCACAGTGATTGTCCTTCCACTCTCCAAAATACCTCATCCTCGCCCCCCATCCCCCCTAGCTCTCATCCCCATTATCCTACATCCCCTACAACTTCCAACCACTATCACCTATAGTTTTTGTTATCTAAATACTAAATCTATTATAAAAATAATAGATCTATTTTGATTTGATAAAATACACAAATAAAATAATAAATCTCTATGTTGTTGTAAGGAGTAAGTAATTAAAAAACGAACATAGATTGTGGTAGTGCAGTGATGAGACTGCTCCATCCTTAACCAGATATCTTGACTTCAAGTTTTGAGTATGGTGAAAATTCTGTTGAGAGTGTTATCCTCAAATGGGTCTTGCAATGCACGATCCAAATTTAATTGAAGCTCCAACACGAACTCTGACACTAGGTCGGAAACCAAAAAAAAGTAATTAAAAAAACAATGGGAATAGTAATCAAAGACAAATAATGACAGAAGGAAGCAGCTAGCTAGCCTAAATGAAGGAATTGGATAGGGATGAGGGTTCATTGGATCCCAATATTTCATTTTAAAAACTAAAATGCCCTCCTAGGTATGGAGGAAACTCTCCTTTGACTTTTCTAACCTTTTAAATGACCAATGAGTCCAACTTAGAGATGTTTGGCCTTAAAAAATAATTTAAAAAAAAGGAGCTGTTTGGCCAACCGATTTGGTCATTTGGAGGTAAAAAAAATAAATTGAAAACCAAAAGTATTTTTAATCATCTTTTTTTAGAGGTGTTTGATTAATAAGTAAAATTCTTTTCCATTTTTTTGTAGTAATTTAAAATTGTCTTTTTAACGATTATGTGAAGAACAGTCAAATTGCCTAATTATTCTCATAAATTCACTTTGTCATTAATGAGTTTATGAGTATGTTTGAATTAACTTAAAAATTGGTTAGAACCTTTTTTAAGTTATTTTCACCTTTTGGAGTATTTGACTAAGTTTAAAATAAGTATAAAATGATGATCAATATGTTAAAAACCAAAAATAAATTTTCCTTATTTTTTATTTGTTTAACATTATTTAAGTTTAACTTTTTATTCTTTTAATTTAAAAACTATTTTTCTTAAGTCAATCCAAACGGACTCTACGTAAAGTAACTCTTTTCTGATTTTCAATAGATTCACTTTTTGATTTTATATTGGGTACTCTTTATCCGCATCATTTCTATGAAAGGAAGAGTTTTGATATCTTTCTGCAGAACTTTTGGATAAAATTTTCAGTAGGAGTATAAACTTAGTACTTTTTGCATATACATCAAACAATCGAATTAGCTAATTCAATTGTTCCTAATTATGTTTCTGCTGTTCCATATATGGTAGTACTTAAGAAGATAATTTAGTCATTAATTGATCGACGTGGTTAAGTGTAAACCGACCATAAAATTGGATGTCGGCATCACCAAAACGAACAATAATATGTAATGACCTTGTTTTTTTCTTTCTTTTTGAGTTTCTCCCTCATTCGCTATTCATGTTAGAGTACGATTAATTCAAAATCATTTTGTATAATTCTATTTGAGGAATAAAATATTAACATAAAGATTTAAATTCGAAATATCTACTTAAAGGTAAAAATAGAATTGATATCGATCACACCATCTGGTGCTTATAATGAGCTTGTTGTAGTTAAATTAACTTGACTTCGACTAACATTTAAAACTTTCAACTTTATATATGCTTCAGTAAACACTTAAACTTGTACTATAAAATTGAACAAGTAGACACACACCAGACATGCCCAACGTCTCATATATAATACATGTAGGACGCTAAGTACAACGTTATATGTCCATTTATTTAACTTTATAAATATTTAATTAATATTTATTTATACATATTCAAAGTAATAAACATAAATATCAGCTATAATCAAATTTAAAAATCATATCCACCTTAGAAAAACGAGTCAAGTATAAAGATCCAATAAACCAAAATTAAAATGGACCCCATAAGCTCAATAATTTAACATATATTAGGTCAATATTAGGGGCCCTTTATGTATATAAATAGAGGTGTGTGATAAACACAAAGATGAAGACCACACACTCTTGGGTGACTCTTCCCAACTATACCTTCTCTCTCAGGCTAGCTAATTTTTCTCTTCCAACAATGGAGGAAGATAAACAAAACCAGGTAGCTAGAATTCAAGATTTTGATCCACCAAAGAAGCCAAAAACAAACAAATATGCAATAGCTTGTACTTTTCTAGCTTCATTGTCATCCATCTTGCTTGGTTATGGTAACTACTTTCATTTTCTCCCTTCTTATTACATACTACTTCATTTATTACCTATGTACTCAAATTAATTGTCTCTTTTTCCGAAAATAGTTATCTCAAATTATTATTATTATTTGACAGTAATATTTATCATCATTGAATTCTATGCCACTAATTTTATCAATATATATCGAATTTAATACTAAAACACTTAAATATTGTTATTCGTTAAGTTTAAATTTTAAATCTGTTTCTAACGATTTTATAACTTTTTGGTTCATGCAGATATTGGTGTAATGAGTGGAGCAATTATCTATATTAAGAAAGATCTCCATATTACTGATGTCCAAGTAGAGATTCTAGTCGGAATCCTCAATGTTTACTCTCTCTTTGGTTCCGCCGCCGCCGGTCGGACCTCTGATTGGATTGGCCGCCGGTATACTATGGTGGTGGCTGCCGGAATCTTTTTCGCCGGAGCTCTCTTGATGGGTTTTGCTACAACTTATGCCTTTCTCATGTTTGGTCGATTCGTCGCTGGAGTCGGAGTCGGGTATGCTCTCATGGTTGCCCCGGTTTACACAGCTGAAGTCTCGCCGGCGTCATCTCGCGGTTTTCTTACTTCCTTCCCCGAAGTTTTCATTAATTTCGGTACGTGGTAATTTTTAGTTAACAGTTAAAAGTTTTTAGTTATATATACGGATAGTAAAAATATTCACGCATTCGAGCAAGATTTATGATCCTAAAAAGATGGATAGTATGACTAATAAAATATCAATCTAACAATCGTTCTCTATTTTTAGATTTTAATAATAATAATATGTTTTATGAAATTATTAGTACTATTTTTTAATTATAATTAAAAAAAAAGAAAAAAATTTGAAACCAATGGCGTGGGACTTTGAATTTGACGTTGAAATTGTCGTTTTCTGAGTCAATAGTAATGACAAACAACATGTTTTTGTCGTATCATTTTATTGATACGATAGAGAAAAATATATTTTACTGTATATAATTCGACAGTAGAATCCCTCTGCAACAAATTAAAAAATAATTAATAAGATATTTATTCATAATTTGAGGATGGTGTATTTTTCAAAGACGATTTTAATTTAATCTCTTTATGAATATTTTATGAGTTTGTGAAATATTTGAGATGTCTATATAAGGAAATATAATATTTTTTATCTAGACATGAACTAGGGTTTAGAGTTAAATAGCCTCAAAGAATCCTAACTAGAATTGAACATACCATGTAGAGTGAGTTAAATAGCCTCAAAGAATTCTAATTAGAATTGAACATACCTTGTAGAGTCCCAACCAAAATTTAACGGGATCTGGAAGAGTCCGACAAAACTTCAATGTCTACCTCTCAAGGCATTTTTTTGTGGATTCAAATGATTTATATATAATATCCAAAAAAGATCTTTACTTTTGTCAGTTGTAATTACTATAGATTTCGTGCCATCACCTATTTTTTATTTTAGTTTGTTTTCTAATCGGTAGCAATTTTATATTGAATTTTCCATTTGATATGTTTAAAATTATAAAATATATTTGATATGTTTTTAATTTAAAATATATTTGATATGTTTTTAATTTAAAATTACAAGATTCATAAATTTCTTTTATTTTTTAAAATTTGTGCCGAGTCAATATATATATCAAATAAATTAAAATAAAAAATAATATAATTCTCCATTTTTTTTTATTCCAAGACTTGGGAGAGATTTCTTTATTTTAAAATTCTTGCTTGTTCTAATAAAGTTCTGGTTGGTAACATAAAGACGTTTTGAAAATATCTATCAGGAATGAAGTTTAAAAAGTGTGACAAGTTATTGCAAAGTAATCTAAGTTGTTGAGATTTAAAAGATATCTATAAATGAACACAATTCTTACTGTATTAGAAAAGATACTACCATGTCATTTTATTAAACAAATATTTAAATAAAATTATATACATATTTTTTAATTAAATCGAAGTTTACGTGATAAATATTTATATTTAGTTTTTATCAAATAGACTCAGATAAATTTGTTAATGGCAGGTATATTGATGGGATATGTATCTAATGTGGCGTTCTCCAAACTTCCAACTCACCTGAGTTGGCGATTTATGCTCGGAATCGGAGCAGTCCCATCTGTATTCTTGGCCGTTAGTGTTCTGGCTATGCCGGAGTCACCGCGTTGGTTAGTTATGCAAGGTCGACTCGGCGATGCACGGCGAGTTCTCAACAAAACATCCGATTCCTTACAAGAAGCTCAATTGAGACTCGCCGATATCAAACAAGCCGCCGGCATACCGGAGAACTGCAACGACGACATTGTCGAAGTACCGAAACGCGCAAATGGAGACAACGTATGGAAGGAATTGATCTTCTCCCCGACGCCGGCCATCCGACACATTTTAATCACCGGCGTTGGAATCCATTTTTTTCAGCAAGCAAGTGGAATCGACGCCGTCGTTTTGTACAGCCCGAAGATTTTTGAAAAAGCCGGGATCAAGTCCGATCACGACAGGTTGCTCTGCACCGTCGCCGTCGGAGTAGTCAAAACGTTGTTCATTCTAGTAGCCACATTTATGCTCGACAGATCCGGTCGCCGGCCGTTGTTATTAACCAGTGTCGGCGGAATGGTGGCGTCGTTGGTGCTTCTCGCCACCGGCCTCACAATTATCGACCACTCAGAACAGAAATTAGTTTGGGCAATAGCACTTTGCATATCAATGGTGTTAGCTTACGTGGCGCTCTTCTCTATCGGTATGGGTCCGATAACGTGGGTTTACAGTTCGGAGATATTTCCGTTGACGCTCCGGGCAACTGGATGCAGCATAGGGGTAGCAGTGAACAGAGTAACAAGTGGAGTAGTGTCAATGACGTTTTTGTCCCTCCAAAAGGCGATAACTATCGGAGCGGCGTTCTTCTTGTACGCCGCATTAGCGGCGGTGGCGTGGGTGTTTTTCTACACATTGATGCCGGAAACTCAAGGGAAGACTCTAGAAGAAATGGAAACATTGTTTGGAACTTTTTGGAACTGGAGAGAGAGAGGGAGAGAACTGAAAGAATTAAAGAAGACGGAGAAAAACAGTAACGATAACGGCCAGATTCAGATGGGTACTAATAATCCAGCTATGCAAAATTTTATGATGGTATCCGCACAACCAAACATAGTTGTGTGATTGTTTGAGACTTTGGATAATAGACAAATAACAATATATGAAAGGAGACAACAATTTCCTAATTTTGTACATACTACTACTTCAATATGTTGTGACTTTTGATAATTTGGATAAAAACTACTACATGTACGATACATGACAAATATTTATCAAAACCAATACATGATGTGTAAACAGAGGTAAAAATTATCTCAAACTGCCTTTAAAATATGTCATTTTTGTCTCATTACCCAAAAAAATTTCCTTAAAATGGTCCTTGAATTTCTTTAGAACAAATAACCAAACTCGAGATCAGCATTGAGTTTGTAGCTATTCACCTTGGAGGAGAGTGATGCTTTTGAAGTGTCAAGTATATTTGAAGGAAAATAGTGATAGTTGAGTGATATTTTGGTCTTAAATGAATCACAAATGATATTTCAAGGCAATTGCCTAAATTTGGTGGCCATTTAGGGAATTGACTCGCAAACCAACACAATATAAATATTAGGTCCCATAACGTTTTTGGTTGAGCTCACGAAAAGGCACAAGATAAAACGAGCAAAGATCGATTGAGATGTTTTGATCATGCTTTGCATCAACCTCTAAATGTATCATAGTTCTGAAAATTTAGCGGGTGGAGTTGTCAAAAGAGGACAAGGTGGACCTAAGATCATATTCTCTCGAAAGACCTACCAACTGTTGGAATCAATGCAGATCAAAGAAAAGATGATTAAGAAATTGCCACTTCAATGGTTAATTGGTACCACTAAAATCTCAACCATCTGCGTCTTCTTACAACTTACAAACTCTCTCTTTCACCTTTTTAATATTTTTTCAGGCCCATCGTCCACTTTCTCCTTCTCCATCCTGCCACTAAAAGATGTGTCGTCTATTTCAAGAAGAAATTTAGGCCATAACTTTTATGAGATTTGACTTTTTCCCTTTTTATTTCTACTTTGCTTTGTTTCACTTGAACTAAGGATTTTTCGAAAATGTTCTCTCTCCCTGCAAAAGGTAAGAATAGGATTTGCATACACTCTACTCTCTACATTCTTTGCTTTATGACATTTCACTGAATATGTTATTATTAACTTATGTGAGATTCCTATAAAAAAATCGTTGACTTCGTGTCGTTCCGTTAAATATTTGACAAGTGACACAAACTTTGCTAGATATGATAGCTGAAAAGAGAAAATGGAAATTTTGACCAAAGTAAGTCATTATGTAAATCAATTCACCAAAATAATATGTTTTTTGAAATTTTACAAAACTAGAATAAACGTATTTGGCAGTAACGTTTTAGGTATTATTTTATTAAAAGAAATCAGTAACAAAAAGACAAAAAGCTGACGGAGTTAACAGACCTAAAACGTTACTTTCAAATACGTTTTATTAATTCGTTACTCACAATCACGTTTTATGACTAAAATGTTACTGACCATAAGAACTCTTTAGAATTCGATTACAGATAGAGGCTAAAACATAACTGAGTGTCTGCACATGTATCCAAACTTCGGAATTATGAATTTTTTAAAAATAAAATATAAACATATAAGTTACTATGTTTTAATTAATTTGTAAGAAACTGAAATTACAAATTTGTAATTGAAATCTTATCTTTTAGTAAGATTTACATCCAGAAATTTCAAATTTAAGTTTCAAATTAGTTGGTCAAATACCTAACTGACAAGTTAATCGAAATCACTTATTGAAATTTGAATCTATCTATGGAAGAAAGTCAAATTCCAAGAATCAATTCAATATATTTTTTTAAGAAATTTTTGAAAAAGTGGGAAATTTATAGTGACAAACATAGCAAAGACGACAACTGTTTGAAATGCCAGCAAAAGAGTTTTGCTTACGGAAACGCAGAGGTTATTTGTGAAGTCGTCGGAGAAATATGGAAGAAGAGCGTCGTAATAATTGGGGGCGGCGGAGTTGTGGGAGTGACTAGTGAGGTTGATGGTGGTGAAAGTCGGGAGTGTTATTAATGGAGAAAATTTCGCCTTTAGAGATAACGATACATCAGATATAACCTTTTAGTCTTAAAACATCTCTGTGAGTAACGAATTAATAAAGCGTATTTAAAAGTAACGTTTTAGGTATAAAACGTGTCTGTGAGTAACGAATTAATAAAACGTATTTGAAAGTAACGTTTTAGGTCTGTTAACTCCGTCAGCTTTTTGTCTTTTTGTTACTGATTTCTTTTAATAAAATAATACCTAAAACGTTATTGCCAAATACGTTTATTCTAGTTTTGTAAAATTTCAAAAAAACATATTATTTTGGTAAATTGACTTACTTAATGGCTTACTTTGGTCAAAACCAGGCCTTAAAATGTTGGTGGTCCTCTAGTCTTTTACTCTTGCCATGTGCATGTATATTATTAGCCCAATTGTGGCCCAAATTTCATGGTCCTATTACGCCACCATCTTTGTTGTTATTAAGGGGTACAAAATCGAATCAAATTGCAAATTGAGTCAAATTGAAAAAAAAAATCGACTAGTGGTTTGGTATTGGAAAAAAAATCCGATTATATTTGGGTTGGTTTGATTTCAACTAAAAAAAAACAACCCGACATTATATATATAATTTTAAAATTTTATTTTATACGTAAAAATATTTACTTTGATATAATTTTTAAATATTTCTTATACTTTTTCATAGTTTTTATCTTTTAATATATTATTTCATGTTGAAAAGTTAGAATTCTTAATGGTCCAATAAAGATTATAGTTCATAGATGTTGGTAATTATAATAAAGCTTAAATCAAAATCAAATTAATACTAATGCAAAAAGAAAATCAATTCAACACTAAGAATGACAATAATATTGAATATTTGTTCTTTAGTTTTACATAAGTTTAGACAATTAAAATACATAATCTAATTTTAATTCCTTTAATATTTAGTCATGTAACTAATACTTATTAAACTTAATTTTAGCATGATTTAGTACTTTTAAATTATGATCATTTTCATTATGACTTGTTAATTTACAATATTTGTTTTACGCGATTTCATTATAATTTTGTTGTTGGATATTTTAGTGTCATTAATCATATCATATATTTTTGGGAAAGGAGTTTGAAAAATACTTCAACTTTGGCCGAAATTGTTGTTACAATACCAAACTTTATGGAGGACCTTTTACCCCTTGCACTATTTAATAGTGTGTTTTAAAGGTATATATGTGCCCACGTGTACACATTACTATTTAAAATGATGTAATATTTATGATGTCCACGTGGGCACATATATACCTTTAAAAATACACTATTAAATAGTGCAGGGAGTAAAAAATGTCCTTTCCAAAGTTCGGTATTGTTACAGCAATTTCGGTCAAAGTTTGGATATATTTCAGACATTTTTCCCTTTTTTGTTGTTGGATATTTTAGAGTAATTAATCATATCATATTTTATGTTATTTTCTTAAGAAACACCTTATATAGTTGTATTTTGGTAGGACTAAAGAAATATTTGAAATACAAGTAAATTATATGTTTGTATGAATACTTTATCGAAAAAACCCGAAAAATCCGAAAAAACCTGAGGTTGAAAAATCTTATTTTTATTGGTTTGGTTTGGTTTATAAATTCAAAAATCCGACACAAATGGTTTGATTTGATATTTGAAAAGCCCGAACCAATCCGGCCATGTACACCCCTAGTTGTTATTTTCATTAGTGGCCAACTGGATGGCGTCAGCTTTAATTATAGGATTTGTGAGGAAATTAACAGTTGTTTATAAATCTGCATAAATCTGTAATTGTGATTATTTTTCAATACATATGGGTCAAAAGTGGTTATTTGTGAATTTTATCCTATTATACATAGACCTAATTAAGCGTTCTATTCTGCAACCTCATCCATGGAAATAGTGTGGGCTCAAAAAATCCAGAAGCCCATATTTGATAGTTATAGTGGACTTCTACAAGGAGCCGAAACCCAATGCCTTTTTATTTTGGAGAAAAATTCAGAAATAACAAGCATAATAAACATAATAAGACTATATAGCTATATTTTTTTATAATTGCACTCCATAATTTTCGTTTGCTATGGAGATTGCGGTTACTAATTTTCTGCCCATTTGTATATTTCACATGCGAATATACAAGTAGCATAAGTATATACAAATTATGTATGTATACATTTAATTTTTTTCCAGAACTTTGTTTGTAGATTTCGCTCGCCAATATACAAACATAGTAATTTATTATGAATCTTTCATAAACTGTATACAAATAGTCAGGGTAAGCATATATAAATTTCTGAATTTATACAATCAGGAACCGAATAATACAAATTCAGAAATTATACAAATTAGAAAAATTATACAAATAAAGAAAATAGCAAAAATTGAGGAATTTATAGCCGCGAATTATAATTTTCTTAAACGATAGCTATAGTACATAATATAGGCTAAGTATTTGTTATTCTGCATAATTTTCCCTTTTATTGGTCGTAAAAGGGAAAATTATTGGAATTTTTGTACTTAATACTTCAATGCTTATTACTCCCTCCGTCCACTATTGTTTGTCAGGATAAGGTCTGGCACAACCCTTAAGAAAAATTGAATATAAGGTGCAATTTGACTAATATAACCCTACTATCAATCATTATGAAAATTGGTCTTCATTAATAGTCTATTGAACTAAAGAATACCTAGTCTTAAATGTATTTTTACCGTGCAATTTTACATTTAATACTGTTGTTTGCTAGGAGTATTAAATGCATAAAGACTAAAGCAATCAAAAGTAAACTAAAGAATACCAAAAGTCTACCCATATATTATAAAGAATACCAACGGTCTACCTAAATAACTTTCCAATTTATAGAGTAACTTAAGCTAACTAAAGGGCAATTTCTTAAAAAGTTTTTCTTTGTTACTTTAAAATGGTTTGTACTTTTTGAAAAATGTAAAAATAACTTTCTCACATTAAGTAGTATAGTAACTTTAAAATGATCAGTACTTTTTGAAAGTAGTTATGTAATTATTAAGGGCAAAATTGGAAAAAAGTAACTAATTAATCCTTGATTGTTTAAATTGACAATTAATTTTGGACAACTATTTTTAGTATACCTGACAAACAATAGTGGACGGAGGGAGTAATAGTTATTATCCTCTTTTAACTTCTAAACTTTATCTTAGCACTTCAAAATACTTTTCAAATACTTATACT